ACACAACATCACACCTACATCACACACTACAACATCAAACATCACACACTACATCACACACTTCAACATCACACACACTGCCAACACCACACACTTTTACAACACCCCACACTACAACACACACACTACAACACCACACGACTACAACACCACACACAAATCACCAGGACTGCCCTAAACCCGGGTGGAGTCGCCGCGTCTTGAGGAATGGTAAATATTCAGGCATGTATTCAAGGAATGGAAAATAACTCTAATTCCCGAAACGAAGATCCTTTAATAGCATAAAGGGACCCCCTTGAACATTTGATAATATTTAGATATTGAATGACAGAAAGGTGAAGTGAGAGACATGAAGTGTCTGTGTGAAATGAAGAGAAATGAGATACAACTACAACAGAACACACTAAAACACCACCCACTACAACACCACACACTACACCACCACACACTACAACACCACACCCTACAATACCACACACACAAACACCACAACACACAAATCCACACACTACAAACCATCACACACTACCACATCACACCTACAACAAAAACACTACAACACCACACACTTACAACATCACACACTCAACACCACACACTACAACACCACACACTCAACGAAGCACACACACTACAAACACACACTACAACATCACACACACACTAACACCACACACAACAACATCACACACACTACACCACAACACTACAACATCACACACTACACCACCACACTCAACACAATCAACAACACTACAACATCACACAACTACACCACACACTACAACACCACGCACTACAACATCACACACTACAACTAACACCACACTCCCACACTACACACCAAACACTACACATCATACAACACTACAACATCCACACAACTACAACATCACACACTACAACATCACACACTACACTACACACTACAATCGAACAACACACTACAACATCACACACTACACTACACACTACAAACCACACACTACAACAGCACAGACACTACCACATCACACACTACAACATCACAACACTACAACACCACACACACAACATCACACACTACACTATCACACTACAACACCACACATCTACAACATCACACACTACAACACCACACACTACGAACATCACACACTACAAACATCACACAACTACACTACACACTGCAACACCACACACTACAACACTCACACACTACAACACCACACACAACAACACACACAACTACAACATCACACACTACAACAACACCACACTACAACATCACACACTAACAACACCACAACACTACAACATCACACACTACAACATCACACACTACAACACCACACACTACAACATCACACACTACAACACCACACACTACAACACCACACACTACAACACCACACACTTTTCACCAGGACGCCCTAAACCCGGTGGAGTCGCCGCGTCTGAGGAATGGTAAATATTCAGGCATGTTTCAAGGAATGGGAAAAATAACTCTAATTCCGAAACGAAAAGCCCTTTAATAGCATCAAGGACCCCTTGAACAGTTGATAATATTTAGATTTGATTGACAGAAAGGTGAAGTGAGAGACATGAACTGTCAGTGTGAAATGAAGAGAAATGAGACTGAATATTGTGAAAGATGAGGGAATGTTTATTGGTTTATTAAGGCTGTATAAATTTTATCGCTAGATAATTTAGTACTGTATTTCCATACCATAAATAAGGATTAAAGTATAAAACGAGGAAGCTAGGATCACTGTCAGCAGGTTCCTGATAATGAGAGATGTGTGTCGTCAGCTTTTAACAGTTATTTCATTTCAGTCTATAAACAAAACAAATCCCAATAAATTATATTTTTAGAGAGCCTGAGAAAGCACAATAAACTGGATAATTTTGTAGTCATCTACAGACGACACTGTGTTCAAGGGTTCTTAATGCATGGCGGATTTTATCGAGTCACTTATCTGTTCTGTTCAATATTTACTGCGTTAGGTAATCATACCTGATGATAAATTAGACACATATGCAACTCTTGGGTATCTTTATTGAGGAAACGTTTCGCCACACAGTGGCTTCATCAGTCCATACGTAGGAGAAACTTGAAGAACAGGAGGAGAATGAGGTAATCAGTCCCTCAACCTTGAGTCGATGTGTTCAGTTCATCAATCTTGAGGGACTGATTACCTCATTCTCCTCCTGTTCTTCAAGTTTCTCCTACGTATGGACTGATGAAGCCACTGTGTGGCGAAACGTTTCCTCAATAAAGATACCCAAGAGTTGCATATGTGTCTAATTTATCAACATGTCGGTTCTCTGAACCATTCATCTACAAAACATACCTGATATGTAGATGACTAATGTTCGTATCTACAAAATGGGAGAAATCCCTATCATCGAATTACCGCCCAGTCAGCCTGACCTCAATGGTACACACATTAAAATCAATAATAACATACATAGCCAGAAGCCACATAATTGATTAGTGGATCGACAATGATTCAAATGGGCACTTTCTTGGCCTAATTTACTAAGTTTTTTGAGACAGCACATGGTATACGAGTAAACATTTCGTCATGAATCAAAAAAAAAGTTGACAAACAGGCAATAGAAAGTTTGTTCTATCTAGGCTGGAATATTGCTGCACACTAACAGCACCTTTCAAGGCAGGTGAAATTGCCGACCTAGAAAATGTACAGAGAACTTCACGGCGCGCATAACGGAGATAAAACACCTCAATTACTGGGAGCGCTTGAGGTTCCTAAACCTGTATTCCCTGGAACGCAGGAGGGAGATATACATGATTATATACACCTGGAAAATCCTAGAGGGACTAGTACCGAACTTGCACACGAAAATCACTCACTACGAAAGCAAAAGACTTGGCAGACGATGCAACATCCCCCCAATGAAAAGCAGGGGTGTCACTAGCACGTTAAGAGACCATACAATAAGTGTCAGGGGCCCGAGACTGTTCAACTGCCTCCCAGCACACATAAGGGGGATTACCAACAGACCCCTGGCAGTCTTCAAGCTGGCACTGGACAAGCACCTAAAGTCAGTTCCTGATCAGCCAGGCTGTGGCTCGTACGTTGGTTTGCGTGCAGTCAGCAGCAACAGCCTGGTTGATCAGGCTGCTGATCCACCAGGAGGCCTGGTCACAGACGGGCCGCGGGGGCGTTGACCCCCGGAACTCTCTCCAGGTAAACTCCAGGTAACTCCAGAAGAATGATCATTCATTCGTGGCGTTCCACAAGGATCAGTTTTGGGCCCTTGTTTATGATCGACATTAATAAACTAGATAAGAGAATGAAATCAACATAAAATTAGCTGACGACACAAAAATAAGCAAACAAAGAAATTTAGAGTTAGATTCCAGCTAATTTCAGTATGATTTAGACAGGCTAATGTGATCAGAAGAGTGACAGATGCAGTGTACTCTGGAAAAGCTTAGTTTTAATCCTAATAAAAGTAAAAAGAGTCTCAATAATAAAAGGAGAACTTGGGAGTTGTAAAAATAAAAATCTGAAGCTAAGGCAACATTGCCTAAGCGTCCTAAATAAGGTTTAGATTAACTGGACACATATCAAGGAATCTAAGCAAGAGACCAAAGGAAGGTTTCTTGATGTAAGGAACTGACCAGACCTCCTCCCCTTTCTTGGATAAAAATTGATTGCTTCCCATTCCCCTAAGCGCTATTTGAACCATACGAGTGGAACAAACTCCCGAGTACTGTTGTAGAAGCTAAGACCTTGTGTAGTTTTGAAAATAGGTTCGATAAATACATGAGTGGGTGTGGGTGGGTGTGAGTTGGACCTGATTAGCTTGGGCTACCAGGTCTGGTGCCGTGTTCCTTCCTTAAGTGGAAGACCTGACTAGGTGGTCATTGTTCTAGGCCGGAAGGGGGGGGGGGGCACGAACCTGCTTCGCACGGGTCAGTAGGCCTGTTGCAGTGACCCTTCTTCCTTATGTTCTTAAACCCTCCCCGACTGATATAATCAACAGCTCTACGCACATCAAAATGGTATACAATACCGACAGGTTGGTAGGTAAGACACATAGGCAACAGTTAGGCATAAAGTTGCCTAACTGTTGCCTATGTGTCTTACCTACCAGCTCTACGCACCATTAGTAAGGTTTCCTTTAGATCACGCAGTACTGATTTTGTCTCCCTACTACAGAATGGACGTAAATGCACTGAAAACAAAGGATTTAAAATTTTATTTATTTTTTTAACCCAGGGGAGGGTTAGCCAGCCAAGATAACCCAATAAGTCAGTGTGTCATAGAAGACTGTCTTATTTCCATTGTAGTCCTTCAATCTTGTCCCCCGGGATGCCACCCACACCAGTCAACCAACACTCTGGTACCTTCTTACAGCTAGGTGAACAGAACACCCAGGTACCTATTTAAGGCTAGGTGAAGAGTCAGCAGGTGTAAGGAAACATGCATATTCTTAAATGTTGCATATTAAATCTTAAAAGACGTAGAATGAGAGGCTTTAACTGAAATATACTAAATACATGTAATATAACTCTTTTATTTATAAAGGGGAACTGAGGCTATGTAACAAAGTCTCAGCCTAATAAGGTGTTTGATCCTAGCACTTTGGGTAGTTTCAGCCTCTAAGAGGCTGGACACATACTAAATGGCTAAGAAGGGTTGTGTTTGAGAGGAACCTACCTAGCATGTGCCTGTAGGCTTACTGCATGTTCTCATATTTAAGAAATAGGTGCTAACTCCTAATTAAAGTTCCCCAAACGCTGTATATTTGTGTTTAAACACAGACTTCCAGTCATCACTACCACCAAGCTTTGCCTAGTTGAATATCTGATAACTAATCAAGTTATGGTGGTATTCAATTATGTTAAGTTTTGTATCACCAGCTGATGTAACTAACCATATGTAAATTATGCCAGCTGATTTCCGGAGCTAATATTAGTCATTAATGTTACCATGTCAAACTATGACACTTGTATAAATGCCAACACACGAGTAGGTATTCCTGATAGTGAAAGATAAGGTCCAGATTATCTCAGTTATCAGTAAATATAAGTGAACAAGCATACCAGGTTTGTTCACTATGTGAGTGAAGATACATGAGTCACTTCCATCATACTACTCTCAACACCAGTACTCGAGTAAGTCTTTATAATATTGGTTTCTATAAGTACACGATGCAACTTAAACAGACCATAGCTGACACCAATGGCGTACTACTGCATAGAAAGCCCTTTATTATGCACAGCATTTCCCGCAACTTGGGTTAATTTTGACCCAAGGATGTGACCCACACCAGTCTGCTAACACCCAGGTACCTACTTACTGCTAGGTGAACAGGGACAGCAGGAGTAATGTGACTAACACCCAGATACCTATTTACTGCTAGGTGAACAGTGACAGCAGGTGTAATGTGACTAACACCCAGGTACCTACTTACTGTGATGAATGGTTTGAAAAACCGACAAGTTGAAGATTGAGACACTTATGCAGCATATGGGAATCTTTATTCAGGAAACGTTTCGCCACACAGTGGCTTCATCAGTCCAATACAAAGAGGAAGGCGTAAGGAGAGGAGGAGAATGAGGTAATCAGTCCCTCAACCTGGAGTCGATGTGTTCAGTCCATCAATCTTGTAGAATGTACAGCATAGGGCCGTAGACGTGGCTTATATACTGTAGTGAGGTGACGTGAAGCAGATGGAGGCGGGGTCATAGTGGTACCATCCACTAGTCGAAGTAGGTCTTCGTCCAAAGGTTGAACAAGTGTTGAAGAATTCTTTGTAACAAGACCCCATGATGCTGCCGTGTCTGACAGTTGTGATGAATGGTTTGAAAAACCGACAAGTTGAAGATTGAGACACTTATGCAGCATATGGGAATCTTTATTCAGGAAACGTTTCGCCACACAGTGGCTTCATCAGTCCAATACAAAGAGGAAGGCGTAAGGAGAGGAGGAGAATGAGGTAATCAGTCCCTCAACCTGGAGTCGATGTGTTCAGTCCATCAATCTTGTTCAACCTTTGGACGAAGACCTACTTCGACTAGTGGATGGTACCACTATGACCCCGCCTCCATCTGCTTCACGTCACCTCACTACAGTATATAAGCCACGTCTACGGCTCTATGCTGTACATTCTACAAGATTGATGGACTGAACACATCGACTCCAGGTTGAGGGACTGATTACCTCATTCTCCTCCTCTCCTTACGCCTTCCTCTTTGTATTGGACTGATGAAGCCACTGTGTGGCGAAACGTTTCCTGAATAAAGATTCCCATATGCTGCATAAGTGTCTCAATCTTCAACTTGTCGGTTTTTCAAACCATTCATCACAACTGTCAGACACGGCAGCATCATGGGGTCTTGTTACAAAGAATTCTTCAACACTTGTTCAACCTTTGGAAGAAGACCTACTTCGACTAGTGGATGGTACCACTATGACCCCGCCTCCATCTGCTTCACGTCACCTCACTACAGTATATAAGCCACGTCTACGGCCCTATGCTGTACATTCTACAAGATTGATGGACTGAACACATCGACTCCAGGTTGAGGGACTGATTACCTCATTCTCCTCCTCTCCTTACGCCTTCCTCTTTGTATTGGACTGATGAAGCCACTGTGTGGCGAAACGTTTCCTGAATAAAGATTCCCATATGCTGCATAAGTGTCTCAATCTTCTACCTACTTACTGCTAGGTGAACAGGAATAGCGGGTGTAATGTGACTAACACCCAGGTACCTACTTACTGCTAGGGGTGAACAGGGACAGCAGGTGTAATGTGACTAACACCCAGGTACCCACTTACTGCTAGGTGAACAGTGACAACAGGTATCTTAAGGAAAGACCTCAATGTGTGAGCTAAGTGCGTTACCAACCCAACCTTTTTGACAGCCGAGAGACGGTGACTCAAGACTTATATAAAGCCTATTATCGAAGGTAGTTTTGCTGGCTGTCATTCCATTGTGTACACAAATAACTCGCACATAGGATAAATTACCACATTTCGGTCCAACTAGTTATGGTCAAAATCGGACCGAAACGTGCGGGTTATTTGTCTATTATTCCAGTCACGGTATTGTGCCTTTTTATTCTCCATTATATACCAAGTGGTATATATATATATGTGTGTGTGTGTACTCACCTAATTGTGGTTACAGGGGTCGAGACTCAGCTCCTGGCCCCGCCTCTTCACTGATCGCTACTAGGTCCTCTCTCTCTCTCTCTCTGCTTCCTGAGCTTTGTCATACCTCGTCTTAAAGCTATGTATGGTTCCTGCCTCCACTACATCACTTGCTAGGCTGTTCCACTTCATGACTACTCTAATGACTACTCTATTGCTGAAGAAATACGCCCCTTGTGCAGTATTAAAACAGGGAAGTGTTTTTGGGTATGTCCAAATGAGATAAATCTGTGGACTAAAATCACAAGGGTATTAAAAGAGGATAACATCAAAGCTGCTTTCATAGACAACCTGGAAGCTTTCTACAACAGATGGGAACATAAAAAGTCTGGGCTGAATGGTACTGCCCTTGATACTGGCCATGTAGTCAGAAACTGTAAGGCTGGAGGTGATGTCCTGGTAGTCAGTAAATGTGGGGCTGATAGTGCTGTCCTGGGAGACAGTAATGGTGAAGCTGGAGGTGCTGTCCTGGGAGACAGTAATGGTGAAGCTGGAGGTGCTGTCCTGGGAGACAGTAATGGTGAAGCGGGAGGTGCTGCCTGGGAGACAGTAATGGTGAAGCTGGAGTGCTGTCCTGGGAGACAGTAATGGTGAAGCTGGAGATTTTGTCCAGGTAGTCGGGAATTATACGCAGGAAGGAATACATATAAATGACCTCATAGGGGACAGGAGCCGTAGTAGGGAAACAAGTGTAGTCAAAGATAAGATAAAACCAATATTGCAAACTAGAAATACCACAGGAAATAGCAAACAAGAGGACTCCACTAGCAATAGTGAGGATATATTACCAAAAACAACTGGTGGGGAGCTCCATTGTTGGTGCTAGGGAGGATAGGAATAAGACAGGGAAACATGCACCAACAGGGAATACAGTCACAGAAACCCAAGGCAAACGGAAACCAAGCCTGTGCACATACTATGCACTTGGTATCTGCAGGCATGGGAAATCTGGAAAAACAGACGGGACGTGCAACTATGACCACCCTAGAAAATGCCATGCCCATATGACAACAGGAAAATGCAAACTCCCTTCCTGTAAGCTTTTTCACTCTGAACTGTGTACCTCTTCAGTACGGGAAAGACTGTGCTATAACTTAAATTGCCAGGCACACCATCTAAAGGGGACAAAAAGATACAAAACATCCAGGCCATGGGAAAACCTGGGTAGCCACAGCCACTCAAGAGGGAGAGGTTTTTTAATGCCAGGAAGGAAAAAAAACTGGCAGGAAATGGCAGAAATCGTACACCAAATCCAGTCATTTCTGGAGTGGAACCACAGTCGATGGCCTCCACTCCAAACCAACAGATACAGATACTAATGCCGGAAAAAAATCCCCCCCCCCAGTACCAACAATACCACCAGTCCGATGACATTCTTCTTTGCAAATATACAGGGTCTAAAGCCAGCAACAAACAACAAAATACCTTTCATCCGTGGACTGCTTGCAGAGGCAAAGGCAATGTTCCCGGCTTTCACTGAGACCCACATAAAGGATCACTTGGACAACGAAATATGGATCCCAGGTTACAACCTATACAGATGTGACAGAGTGAACAGGCAAAAGGGGGGGGGATGGGTTGGCCTGTACGTTGCAGAGTCACTTGTTTGCACAGAACTGCTTAATGCCTCAAATGATGTAGTGGAAGTTTTAGCAGTAAAGGTCGAGAACCAAAACCTAGTCATTGTGGTAGTCTACAAGCCTCCGATGCAACATCCCAGCAATTCCAGGAACAGCTGTTAAAAATTGACCACTGTCTGGAAAATCTTCCAGCTCCTGCACCCAACATCTTGCTCCTGGGGGATTTCAACTTAAGGCACCTAAAATGGGGGAATATAGCAAATAATATTGTTGCAGTAATAACACCAGGAGGCAGCTTGATGAAAACTCACACTCACACGAGCTTTTAAATCTCTGCACAAAATTCAATTTAAACCAGCAAATATAGAGCCTACTAGACTGGAGAATACACTAGACCTCATCTTCACTAACAATGATGATCTGATAAGAAATGTCACCATATCAAAAACAATATACTCAGATCACAACATAATTGAAGTTCAGACATGTATGCGTGGAGCCCCAGACCGACATAATGAGACTAGTCACGAGGGAGCATTCACCAAATTCAACTTCAATAACAAAAACATAAAGTGGGACCAAGTAAACCAAGTCCTAACCGATATAAGCTGGGAAGATATACTAAGCAACACAGACCCCAACTTATGCCTAGAACAGATTAACTTGGTGGCACTCGATGTATGCACAAGGCTTATTCCTCTAAAGAAAAGGAGGAGTAGATGTAAAATAGAAAGAGACAAGCGCTCCCTTTACAGGCGACGGAAAAGAATAACAGAGCGGCTAAAAGAGGTCAATATATCTGAAATGCGTAGGGAGACACTGGTCAGAGAAATAGCAAGCATCGAACTTAAGCTAAAGGAATCTTATAGGAGTCAGGAATCGCGGGAAGAACTAAAAGCCATAAATGAAATCGAAAGAAACCCAAAGTATTTCTTCTCCAATGCCAAATCAAAGTCGAGAACAACGTCCAGTATTGGGCCCCTACTTAAACAAGATGGGTCCTACACAGATGACAGCAAGGAAATGAGTGAGCTACTCAAGTCCCAATATGACTCAGTTTTTAGCAAGCCGCTAACCAGACTGAGAGTCGAAGATCAAAATGAATTTTTTATGAGAGCCACAAAATTTGATTAACACAAGCCTATCCGATGTTATCCTGACGCCAAATAACTTCGAACAGGCGATAAATGACATGCCCATGCACTCTGCCCCAGGGCCAGGGCTCATGGAACTCCGTGTTCATCAAGAACTGCAAGAAGCCCCTATCACGAGCCTTTTTCCCTCCTATGGAGAGGGAGCAAAGGACACGGGGGTCGTCCCACAGTTACTAAAAACAACAGACAGCCCCACTCCACAAAGGGGGCCCGTAAAGCAAC